CCCAGTGGCTTCCTGACAAATTTTGGAGGAGAAATGTCAGATTTGCATCCACAAAACTGCTGTGACCATTCATGACTGCCAGCAAAGCAGTGGATGAGCTGAATTTTACTGTTCCATTGTTTGAGGGACTTCCCTGTGAATGCCCTTGTCTGGATAGGAAATTCTCTGTGTAATTCCCAAGCCTGATCTAGCAGGGTTGGTTAACCCTGATCTAATAGGGTTCGGTGTGCAGAGCTGAATAAGAACATTAAACACTTGAATTCTCAGCAGAAGTTTGTTCCTGGGGATGGTATTGGCCAACTATACATGCACACAGTCCTTTTAAGCTCCAAGCATTTACACTTCTACCAACACCCATTTGGGTAACAAAATGGCATTTTGGATTGAGATAGAGGTGCTTGTGTTTTTCTGTATGTAAACCTCATCCATGAATCAAATTATACCAATAAGTGTATCTTACAAAGCTTGTTCAATTTAAAGTAACAAAAAGTGTTAAATATGAGTATACTAGTCTATAACTGAATAATTTGTATCTGGTTAGACTAAAGGGCAGATGTACCTTTAGTAGTTTTCTCGAAAGGTCCTATATACAGCACACATACAATAACAATTACAAGCACTGAGGGCAATGGTAAATATCAAGGTTCCATTTATAAGGTCTCGATGGTTACTTAATTATTTGACAGTTCGGAGCAGTTAGAAATTCAATGGGGTATAAGAGCAAATACATCCGTATTTGCTCATGATCTCATTAAAGGCATTCTGTAGCCCTCTTCTTGGAGATCTTGCATTGTTCATTGGACTTTCTAGTGAGTTTGGAAGTTACTGGAGAATGCAGCTGCACATCACAATAATAAATAACAACAATATCCTCATAACTGGAACTAGACCTTGGTAATGGTTGCATTTCTATCTTATCCGAATCCAAATGAAGCATTTTGAAATCAAAGTGCTTGTTTGTAGAAGAGGCAGGAAAGTGGTTCATGAAATATGGTCACAAACTACTTTCATAGGAGCTTCATGCACACAAGCAGTCAGCCTTCAAAAATGGCTTTCTTTCACATAATTGCAGGTATGTGATGGCAATGTCTGTGTGATGTTGTTGCATGCAATTCTTGTAAAGGCATACTTAGCATTTAAAATTCAATTGGAATATTAATATAACTCTGTTCTCCTCCCAAAATATTGGACTGTCTCAACTCCAGTTCATGAGAACTGTCTGAAAAACCCTGAAGTAACCAACGTTCTTATAAATTTGCTTTGGTTCCAGAAAAACCAGTGGATGATCTGAACTGTAATTGCTTTCCTGGAACCCAGCTGAAATGTTAAATACTAATGATAAGAGAGGACTTGTTTTAATTCAAAACTCCAAGCAGATCACTGATCAAAAAAGATGATAGGAAATTATCAGCACTTGAACGTCACTGTACCACCTTCTTTTCTCTACTCTAATTTCCCATGGCTTCTCTGTGAGCAAAGGTTGTAAAGGTTGTCCTTCTGCTACAGTATATCTTCTGGACATTGGGATAGCAAGGCCCACCTCTCCTCTGAGTAAGTAATATGGATTTAAGAGGTGATCTTATCTCTAACCATTTCCTTCTGCTTGCTGTTTTCTGTCCCCTCAAACCTCACTTTCTGCCATATTTATATCTGTATAATACATAACGTAATTACACTTTTACACTTTATACGTAAACGTCACTTTTAAGAATCTAGGACAAATTAACAAATATTTATGCCATGTTTTCAATCCACATGTCAATCTGTTTCTGCATCAGCAGTGAGTTCAATGGTCACATTTAATCCAAACTCCTTGGAGGCACTTAGGTGTAGAGTTGGAGGGATCCCTCCTGGCAACAGGGTTGTATAAGGTCAAGGAAAGGTAGAAAAAAAATAAGGGACTTGGAGTACTAGGATGTACAGAGGTGTCTAGGTTGAACGGCATCTACAGTACATTGCTTGTTATACAGTTGCAATAATTCATGCATCTGCAACGGAAAGAAGCAATTGGTTAGCATGGCTGCCACGTTTGGACTATAATACATGTAAACTACTGGTCAGAGCTAAATTAATTTATATGAATCTCATTGATTTCAATGGGCCTAAAGTTATACATAGATAACTGAGGTGTCATTGATTTCATTGAGGCTACCCTAAAGAGGACAACATTTGGATCACAGAAAATTAAACACTGTAGTTCAGAAATATTAAACTTCTTTCCAAATTATTTTTGCCTCACCGTCTTCCAAAGGAGACTCAGAGAACAATAATCAAAATACAATAAATATGCAGAGTAAAAATCAGATTACATTTCAAGTGTTTCAATAGATTAATATTTACTACATCTGCATCCTGACTTTCTGTCAAAGAGTCCAGGACACCTGACACAAGTTTTTCCTTTCAACAATCTTGTAATGTAGATTTAGCCAATCTTGCTCAAGGCCCTTAAATTTTATGGCTTTGGAGAGATTTAAATTAGGTTTCCCAAATCTAACACTCTATGTCAGCCTTTCTGACCTAATATTTTCCAGATTTGTTGGGTTACAACTTCCTTTATTTTTAGGCAGCCTGCCCCTCAATACTATCACATCAACTCTTGTTGTATATATTTTTTGAAACACATTGCTGCAAACGATTTAGGAACACATTTAGCCTTAATCAACATCTGCACAATAATGCAGCACACATACTGATCCCTCTGAAAAATAGCCAAAAGCTGTTTGCACTCGGGATAATTTTTCCCCATCCATCCCTATACACATGCATATGTCTGACCTCATAGCGTTTAGCATATGGGAATGCATGTTATAATATGTAATTATGTCTGTCACTTATTACATGAAATCTGGCTCTAAATGTACTGTATATATTTATGTTATCCAACCATGAGAGTAGGTCTTTTCTGGGCCTCATACTATACACAAACTCTCTTTTCTTCCCTCTCTAAATTGATCCTTCCTAGGGTAAGATATCATCCAATTATGTATTTCCACCCTAAGACAGAGTTGAAGTTCTGACTCTGCACCCAGATACTGTAAGAGTTTGGATGGGGAAAGACAAGCTTAAACTCAATCCAAGCAAAGCAGAGTTGCCGATGTGGAAGCTGATAGATTCTAGTAGAATTTCATCTTTTGACCTGGATGGGGTTGTGTTACTCAATAGGTCCACAATTGGGAGATCATTTTGGACTCATGGTCCTCCTGCTAAAAGGAAGCATGGACAGGACAGCCTTTGTGCAGTTTTATCTTGTATGCCAGTTACAGCCAATTCTGGATCCATAGATGTTGATGATCTTGTCACCTCTTGTTTGGATTACTCCAATTTGTTCTACTTTAGGCTGACTTTAAAGTCCATTTTGAAACTGCAGATAGTCCAGAATGCAGCAGCCCAAGTAATAACAGGCTCAGTGCAGTTTGCCCATATTATACCTCTTCAATGGGAGAATCATTGGTTGCCAATGGGCTTCCAGGTATAATTCAAGGTGATGGACTTTAAAGTCTTTTTTGCATAGGATCTAGGTAATTCTGAGACCACCTTCTCTTAGTGGGTTCTGTCCATACAGTGAGATCTAGAAGAAAGGGCTTGTTGTGGCTTCCAACTCCTATGGAGTCCCAAGTTCAGGGATCCTGGAACAAGACTTCTTTGTGGTGGTCCCATCCTCTGAAGCAGCCTGCTCTCAGATATAAGGCTGGCTCTCCATCTCTACTAGTTTTCCAGAAGGCTATTAAGACCTGATCTACTGGAAGCACTTTGGAAATGGGGTGGTTGGTGGACAGTGCTAAAGAAGTTATCCCATTGGGGGTGTGTGTGTGCCAATTATAGTTTTTTATAATTATTTTGTATGATTTCAACCTGATTACTGTACTAGAGAACTGTAAGCCACTAAAGTAGTTTGATTGGAATGGTATATAATACCAAGTAATTAATTAATAAATACCTACATAAACCACTTCTAAGTATGTTTATTCACAAGTATATTCCACTGATTTTAGTCAATGCAGCCTATGAACTTTTAAAAGATTTTGAATAGCAAAAAGCATCCTCTCCGGCATTATTAGCAGTTAATAGGAATTTTATGCAAAATCAAGTTTATGTTCAGTTGGAAAGTTGACTCAGAAATGCACAGTCATTGTTGACCACAAATCTGGCAAACCTGTCAGTGCAAAGGAGTCATGTGAGATCTAACACTAAGGAATTCATGTCAACTGTCTTGTTAAACACTGTGGAAGTTCTCAAAATATATATGTAGTAACCAAATAACGAACATGCATATAAGAAACAGCACAATTTGGAGTTCTCCTTTGAAATCCCCTCTTCAGGCTGTATGCCATATGTCCAGGAATCCCTTACAGTGTCTAAGGAAACTGAAATGTTTGGAAACACATAATTACAATGACACTAATCATCTTAAATTTCAATTTACCTCTACATTCATATTTGAGGTCAGAGAAGTATACCATCTCTTGAGAAAAGACAAAAAGACCTAACCGTCCACCAGCATAGGTTTTATCATAGATTGGTCCAGAATCTGCCATGATCTGTTTTCCTTCATAAACTAAAACCCTGTAAGAGAAAACATGGTCTAGGTTAAATGCAATCTTTGAAACGATCGTTCATCTTTCTAGAAAGGTTGTGCAAAATGTTTTGAATTTGAAACATCCCAGTCAAAACAAGGCCATTTCAAACTCGGAATACTTTTAGTTATGACCAGAACCCTTTCAAATAAAGTTGGGGCAACCTGACTTTCTCAGAAAAATGTTTTGAACTTAGAAGACAGCAATTTGAGCAAGAAACATTTTGAAATCAAAATGCTTTGCATGCCATTGATATCTAGCAATTGTATTTATTTGCTTGTTTGTTTGCTTATACATACTCATTTCTTTTTAGGAAAGTAAACATGCGAGAACTTCCTACATGTGATTTTTAACACTAGTCTGTTCTAAATCTCTTTCTAACATGCACCAACTTATTCAGCAACCACACACTTTTATGGAACACATCCACAGTGGTGTTCACCAGCCACATTAAGGTTGACAATGTGAACACATCTTGAAAAGAAATACTTAATACTAATACACATGACTCATTTACAGCCAATCAGATATTACATGTGAGAATTGAAATACAGATAAGTATTTAAGTTCCAACTTATCCATTTTTAGCCCACGTGGAATTTATAGAGATGTGCAGAAAAAGTATGAAGAAAGAACTTCCTGGCTTTGATTGCAATGTCAATTAAATTACATAAATACATGATCAGCACTCTTTTATACGGAAGAAACTTGTGGCATGCATTCGCCACATTGAATTATGTTAAAAGTTAACTCCAATTAATTAATTTCAACAAAATGCAAGGATGATCAATGTCTTTTTTGTTTCTTTCTGGCAGATGTAATGAACGTACAGTAGTACATAATTGCATATCAGACTGTATACAGTGTGTATGCAGCTTTTGCAAAATGTCCAAATAAAACTTAAAACAATATGAATTACCAAGCACAACAAGTTTAAAAGTTCAAGAGCAGCATCAGGTCTGAAACTTTCTTAAGCTGTGCCGTGAACTGATAGGAAGGTCAGTGTCCATCTATGTATGGGGGCTGGTCAGGACAGGATAAACAGGAGTAGTAGCCCAATAGATAATACACATTTTTAACAGATGACTTTTTTTTTTCAGCAGGAACTAGATTTGCAAAATTTGAAAAAAAAAAATACAAAACCCAGAAGGCATAGGGAGAATCCAATCTATACAACAATCCAGGAGGTAGATTTATGTCATGATTTGCAAAGACTGAATTCTTCACATATCTCTAGGCCAAAGGAATTCCCACATATCTTAAACAAATACATGGGAGGATAATTCATGTGGCATATTTGTGTGAGAAACTGAATGGGTAATGGGGGACATAGGTGAACTAGGTGGTGAAATGCAGCAAAGATTCCCAAGGGAACATATGTGGCATAAATAGGACTTTTTAAAATTTATATTTTATTAAAACATTTTTGTGAATAATTGTGTGAAAGATTGGTGTTTTTGTTAAAATACATCTCCAGATGACTTGATTGGGGGAAAAATATTTAAGGCCATTTTCATTATAATCATTTTAATTTTAAGAAAACAAAGCAATCGTTTCTTTCAATCGCCTTTTTACCTTTCTTTTATTTTATTTTCTCTCTGCCTCCTACCCAGAACCAGATTATTTCATAGAAACCATCACTTTCCAAGAGCTGGAGGTTTTTTTTTAAAAAAAAACACCTAATAATGATTTTGTTTATATGTACCATTCAAAATAAATGGAACACATCTGATTCGATGGAAAAATGAGAAAACGAGAACTGTTCAGAATCCTCCCAAAGGTTTCAACCATAAAAAGAAACAGGCTGCCATAAATGAAGTGATAATCCTGGCATTTGCTTACAGAGCATTAAAAAAGATGCATTTATGATCACATGGAAAAGCAATAGCATACATCAAAAGAAAATGACATACTTTATTAATCCTGTCTTAGGTCTGTGGATCAAATGCCACCTGTAGGCAGTGTAATCTTTCCAGCCAATATTTTTGGGATCATGCCACAAGGTGCGCACCTGTCAAAAAAGTAAAACACATAGGCACACACTGGGGGAAAAAAACCCTCATATATAACAAGCCTTGGCTAATTGACCAACTTCCTATGGTATCTAAGCTTAGATTAAGAAAGAAAGGTAGGTTACATCAGGAATAAAGAGCTGCCCACATACACATAAAGTTGGCTGCTTCTATCCACTCATTACGCTCTACATTACAACCCGTAACCACACCCTTAAATGCATGAAAGGGTATTGTGTAGAAGGTCAAGTCCTCTCCTCTCTTATTCCAGAGTTCAGGATATAAAATGATGGATTTAAGTTACAGGAAAACAGATTCCAATTGAATGTTAGAAAATAAAAAACCACCTTCACAGTAAGATAGTTTGGTAGTAGAACTAGTCCTGCAGAAAGGCGGTGAGCTTCCCTGCTTTGTATGTGTTCAAGTGGAAAGTAGACGGCCATCAGCTAGGGATGCTTTAATTTGAATTCCTGACCTCAGTTGGAAGTTGGGCCCTTTCCAGCTCTGTAATTCTATAGATCTATTCTATGTTTCTTGGAGATTTTCACCCTTCTGATGCTAGGATTTAGCAGGCAGATGTTGCTATGGTAGAGAAGGGCATGAGAGAAGGATCTGATAGGAGGGGCTGCAAGAGAGAGGAGACTAGCATAGCAAGTATATTCCAAAGTGCTTTGTTCTGTGCAGAACAATTGGCTGTGATTCACTGATATGAGGGGAGTAACTACGTGTATGCAGGATTGAGTGCTGAGTAACTGAGTGTAATTGGGATAAAAGTTAAACCTGGCCCTGGTAGTCTACACTTCTTAGGTAGGTGGGTTTAGCAAACCTTTGTTGCTCTACATCATAAAATATAAGTTGGTTGGGCTATGCATATCTTGATACTGCTTTGTCAGAGCTTCGTGAAGCATCTTCCCCGCCCTGCCCCGAAAGTGACATGGAGAAGCAACACTCCACTTCTGTTCAGCAGAGAGGCCATACTATTGGATTGATAGCAAGGGCTTCTGTGCATAGGTAGATGCTGTTAGCAAAACAGCTGCTTAAAGCAAATAGAGTTCACCTCAATGCTTTGTTGAAGAGGAGCAACTCCCCTTCCTAAGATGGTACCCCTCCAATATGCCCAGATCTAACATCTGGGGCCCTTAATAATGAAACTTGTGCAGTAAATTATCAGCCTGAACCCTATTCACAGTACTTTAAGTGTTTTCCTGCTTAAACCTGACATGAAGAGTCAGTCTTGATATGTATGCTACCTTGACTTTTTGATGTATGTTTTTAAACCCTGAGGCAGCTTATCATTAAAACTAAACACAAGGCAGGTTAAAATGATCATAAAGTAGGTTATAATAATAAGGTCAGCAACAGCTGCTGTATAAGGGAAGAAAAAGTTCAGTACAAACCAAAACCTGTGACCCATTCTTAACATTTATGCACTAATCACATGATTTGAACATGGGATGGCTATCTTGCAATTAAATGGGGGCAGGAGAAGTACAAGATGTCATAATTCCAGGAAACTTTGGGCTGACTACCCTGACAACACATTGGCAAGGGGACTTTTCAACTAGTTACCTGTCCAGGTGTATTTCCTGTGTGCCAAAGAGCATTTCTCAAATGTTCACCACTACCAGTTGTGGAGTTCACCACCTTAAGGGACACTCCAGAGTATCCATAAGCTCTGGTTGGCTTATCTTCCCAGTATGTCTGAGTCACCTGCTTCCACATCAGGACATAGAAGCGACTACTGGACTGGTAACCAAAGACAAATCCAGCATAATCATCATCTCGGTCTGTGTTGACATAGAATGTACCACTGAAGTCAACAGAACTGAATTCATCATAGCCTGAAGCAGGATGGAAAAGAGATACTCAGTAATCACAGGTATTGCTTTTGATTTCACACATCTATTGTCAATATTATTTGATTTGATACATTCATTATTTTTCAGGATTCAGGTCAATATTAGTCTTCCATGTATGTTGGTTCTTGGCTTTCCTCATTACTTATCCTTTCCCTTGATTTAATTATTATATTTGCTTTAGTGTGAAACAGATTTATCTAACTGTATATCTATAGTTTAGAGAAGGCAACAACCTTTATATTTTGATCTACTGATATATGCTATGTGCAACTGTCCTCAGACATGGTCTAGAAGCTGAAGCTACTGCTGAAGGAAACAGAGTGGTTCATGGTGGCACTGGGTGGAGCATTGCTCCTTAAACTCTGGCTGTCTGCAAGTTACCAGGCCCAACTGACATTGATATTAATCCATAAAGGCCTAAATGATTCAATATTTAAAGTATTGCCTCCACGAATGCTATCCAGCCCATGAATTAAGATCATTTGGGCAGAATCTATTTGTTGTTCCATCAACCCACACTATGGTTATTAGGAATTGCACAGTTCGTTCTACAATCTTATATATGTCCATAGGGGATTACTATAGCAATTATCAATCCCAGGTAAATAGCTATATGATATTAGCCTCAAACTGTTTACCATTCCAGTCCTGATTAAAAAGTGAGATATAATCTGGGATGGAGTAATTTTTATCTCCTTTATAGTGACACAGAATATCAACGCACGGTCTCATTACTTTTAGAAGAAAAGGTTCAGCTATTTTATCAATAATAATTGTATAAAACTCAAGTTTCTTGTAATCTGTACTAGGTAACTTTTCATTACTATCTTTAATTATTAACAGATTATTTTCCAAAGAGATACAGGATTTCCATGACTGAGAAATATTAAGTTTCAAACACATTATTAAACTGATTGTAAAATTTTCTTTCCTAGTTAGCAGAGTTTGCAATGTACGTTTGCTATAATATTAAATGACATAATTCAGAGAAATATGTCATTAATTATGTTGACCTAATGGGGCTCTGAATTTTGATTGCTTAATTAATAGTTCCGATACTGATGAAATAATCTGGGTGAGCCTCAAAAGCACTTCTTGATATAGCAGCAGGACCTGGTATTCAAAGGAAACAAAGTCTAAAACAGCCACAGGATACTTAGAGACCCTAATGAATAGATAAAGCTGGCCTTTAATTGTGGTCAATTGTTGTTATTCTGAATATAGTACACTCAAAAGAGATTTTAATACTCACCAACAGCGATTCCAGGATCTGAATTAGCAGTCTGTACCAATTCTTTGCCCTGATGACGAATTACCCAATTTGGATCAATCTGAGTTGTTCCTTTAGGGTCCAGGGGTACCATTTGAAACTTTCTGAAATCTGTTACACTAATGGCATCATTTTCAGGACACACATCAAAAATATCCGGAATACTATCATTGTCAAAATCATCTTTGCAGATGTCACCTCGGCCATCACCTGAAAAAGCACACATAATACATAATTCCTTAACCTTACACTTACAACTCTTTTTTCTGCATGAGGAGTTGTGAACATTTACAATGTACATTAAAAGCTACTCAGTACTGAATAATACAGTGCCACAATTCAACAGCTATGCGACCTCCTAAAAATAAAAATCAAATTTTACCAGTGAATGTTGTAATTTACTGCATTAAAGTAATATCAGAATCATTTTTACTCAGTAATGTGGAAGGTGCTATAATTTATTTATTTATTAAATTTATATGCCGCCCATTTCCCCCCAAGGGTGACTTATAATATCTTAGGATTTAAATAAAATCCATATTCAGAAAATCATATAATTAGGACAGATGTTGGAAATAATCTAGTGCACAGTCTGTAATGCAGGATTTACAATACAAAAGTACTGCATGCTTAACAGATAACCATTCAGAAGCTGCTTAAGTACTTTTATTGAAGGACAGACTACAACCACCCACCAGCTGGAAAACAATTACCAAGAGGAAGCATACTTTACATGATTTTCAGTGGAAACTTCTTCTGCTATTTATTTTTTATTTATTTATTTATTAAATTTTTCAACCACCCATCTCACCCCAATGGGGAAACTCTGGGCGCTTCACAACAAACATTAAAAACATAAATATATATAAATACATAAAACATCAGTTAAAAACATTACTAACAAGGGGAAGGAGAGTCTAAGAAGATGAAAAATCTGAGGCTGAAGGCAGAAGGCCTCTATGGGGCTAGCCATCCCCATGCTTGAGGTATTCCCTCCCCACCCCAGGCCAAGTGGCAGAACGTTCTCCGGGCGCAGAATGTTCCAAAGAGCAGGGGCTACCACAGAGAAGGCCCACCTTTTGGAGCCCGCTAATCAAAGTTCTTTCACTGAGGGGGTCCGAAGCATGCCCTCTCTGTGTGATCTTTTCCTTTCTAATGGATACTCTTGTACCCTATGGACAGAGATGCACAACTCCTTTCTGTACCATGAAGCACTTCTAGATACTCTTGTTACACAAAGTAGAATCTCAAACCCTTCTTCTAGCACTCATAAAACCATCTATAGAATGAATCTAATGAGTAAGCCTTCTTTAGAACCAACTCATTCTTCTTAGTTTGATTACTAAATGTTGGCTGTTTATTAACATACTTTTTGCTATGTTGTGATTGCTATATGCCACATACCTACTCATACAGGTTAATGTTGAATTGCCAGATTTACACTTCAAGTGTTCTTGTACATTTATGAATTGTAAAGAAGGAAAAAAAATCATTAGTAGGCTTCTTTTCCCAAAATAGCCCAGTGAAATTATTAGAGGTTAACTGGTCTAGTGTCAACTCTAAGTAAGATTATTGTGATGCTGAAAATCTGAGAATAATTGCAATATCATAACTACATGCCAAATAGAATATGAGCTGTTTAGGGGAAAAATCAATCCTTTATACTGTAAGAAGTCCTGAGTATAACAGAACTTGATATTTTAAAATGTGCTTTGGGATTTTAAATTTCATTTTATCTCTGTGTCATCAAATGCCTTCAGCAATGTTTTGCCATGAGTACTTATGACTGTGGCCATGCATTTTTGTCCCATCTGTATTAGATGAGTGAAGAAGGCATTACAGTAAATCATGTAAAAATAGCTCTTGGCTACTCTGTCTTTCTTTATGTGGGAAACTGTTTACTTCATAAAAATAGCAGTGATAAGCTAAAAGTGAAATAGGCATTCTTTGAAACTTTGGAATGTGGCTATATTGAAATTGTGGTTGATTTATGTGGCATTTAAGACTGAACCATTCAAGTGAATAGAGTCTACAACCACCAAATCTCTTATAGAGAAAGTCTGATTGATGGCAATATGGTAAATGGTTGAAGAGTTGGGTCTCATAATGTAATACTTATAGTGGCCTGAGTTAATGAGTTATTGAGGTTTAAAAAACAGTAGGCATTAAAGTAGATGCCAAAGCTCAGAACTAAAATGTCAAAAAGTCTTCTGAGTTCCTGGGCTAAATAACAACTTATAAAACACTAATCCATTCCACAAATTTATTACTTTTAATGTACACCTATAAGCAGTCTGAAGTTTCTTCGAAAGCTTTGCTAGCTACGTCAGATTTATATAGGGATTCCTTAACTATCTGACTTCTGATGTTTTACCAAGTACCTCCAACACATTAAAAAATGTTTTTGCAATCAGGAAGGCTAGCCGCTTTCCCCTTCCTTCTGCCCATCCGTCTGTCCTGGAAAGAGTTCCTAGCCAGTTCTCACAAATTTTCACATTCTATATTTTTAGGAACCTTCATTAATATTTATTAGTAGGAACCCATATTGCATATTTCAGAGACATGTCCTCTTAGAAAAATGTCTCCCATTCTAACCTTCAAGGGTAAAATTGTCCATGGAACATCAAAAAAGGGATTTTTAAAAATACAGATAGCAAGAATCAAGCTTTTCATAGTTCTTCTTTATGAGAAAATGGCTCCACATTCCACTGGCTGGCTGGCAGCCAAGCTGAACTCAAAATACTGACCAGCTGTATACGTGTTTATCTTAACACTTAAGGGGGTAAGAGTGTGTCTCTAGTTTTATTCTCTTTGGTAACATCAAAGAAGTGACTTCTTTGTCCAAGTGAGGTTTTAATTATTTGGTTCATATGTTGCCTAAATTCTTTGTGGCACTGATTGCTGCTGACAAGACTACTAATCCTTCAAGAAATTTGGAAATGCATCTCGCCCACCAAAGTTTTTGAGGCCTGCTAGTGGAAAAACCGTTCCTCGGGTTACAGAACGAACATAGCATTCTGTTTAATTTCTTGATAGAATCCTAACAGAATGAGCCTTGACAATCAAATATGAATGATACAGCTTACTCTGCAGGAGGTTTTCAGTCATAGAACAGTTAATCACCTACCAGTTTGTGTGACTGGAATCACAAAAAAAGGATAGCTAAACACCTGGATTCCTGGGTACTATACTGAAAGCCAGTGTTGTGTAGTGATTAGGGCATCAGACCAGTATTAAAGAGTTCAAATTTCACAGTCAGCTTCAGTAGTTATGGCTGGTAAATTTGAGCTGGCAGAGTAAAAATAAACATAAAAATGTATTGTCTTATTCTGGCTTAGCCCAGTTTGGGAACTGGCTTCATATGAATTCAAAGCTTTTTACAAAAATAGCCACAATCAGAATTTATCCTTCCAAAGTGAAACACGACTCTTAGTCCCTTTTCTTCAGTGCAGACCTAGTCTCAAGATTCTGCTCTTTCCAGATGGTTAATTCTGATTTCCTTTTCTTCTTTTCTTAGGATAAGCAACATATAAGATTCCCTACACCCACAACCCCACGCACAAACAATCATCTAATTCTAATAAAGCAATAATGGTTCTCTTGTTTGATCAACTGCAACATTGTTTTTTTATTGCCACTCAGGAGATGTGGCATTGTTAGTGTTTAAGTTTCAGGACACTTTTAGAAGAGACCCCATGTCAACCTCCAAGCAGCACTAAAGTCAGGTCAATGGCAAAAACATTAAACAGATTCATTTCAGATATAATATAACAAGCTCAACATTTGGTTTTGGCATTCTGAAGCACAGAGTTCCCCTGATTAGTTAGGGGAATCTGGCAATTGTAGCACAAGCCATTTGGAAGTCACTAGATTAGAAGAAGCTGGTGTCAAGTCTTATTCATGTGCCAGTAGAAACAGGGACTCCATGTGAAAGATACAAGAGGTGCTCTGTAGCTGCACATTGGTTTGTGGTTTGTTTTTAAACAAACTCTCTTTCAGGGGAATAGCCTTACCATCTGAATCCTTCTGATCAGGGTTGAATGTAAGGCGGCAATTGTCTCTCTCATCTGGGATACCATCGTTGTCATCATCGGAATCACAGGCATCCCCTATGCCATCCTTGTCATGATCAGCCTGGTTGGCATTGGAAATGTAAGGGCAGTTGTCTTTGTTATTCTGGTGGCCATCTTCATCAACGTCCTCATTGTTGTCACATTGGTCACCAACCAGATCATTGTCCACATCAGTCTAAGGAGGAAAAGGAATAAAAAGATTGAAAACATTTGAAATAATAAGAAAAACAAAACAAAATCCATGACATTTAATAGCCTCCTTAAAATCTATTTATGACAAGGAAATATATATTCCTTGTCATAAATAGATTTTACACACACACACACACACACACACACATACAATCAGGGATGCATTCTAATGAGGTGCCTAAGATACCACCAGATCATGAGGCAGAGTGGAACAATTTGAAACAGCTTTTCATTTACCCATTGTGGAATGGACTGGTATGAACTTTCCTCATTCAAATTCTGGGCCTCTGAAACGTTTTGTTCCCATTATGGATCTCCAACATGGTATGAAGGATGTTGTGGCATCATAAAACTTATTAATTTAAAAATTCCTTTGGGAGAGGAGGAAAGAGGAAATATTTGAATTGATAGCTAATAGATCCACCTTCAAATAAATGTGATCCTTGCAAAGAGGCCACACCAGTCCTTTCAGAGAGTACAGAGGACATTAAGAGTTTCTTAAATTTACCATGAACAGCCATTCCCTTTACAATGATACACTCTACTATCACTGCAAATGAGAATATTCTTGCTCAAACTAATCAAGCTGCCAAAAATCAATTTAAAGAATCAGGTTAAAAAATTATAATCGGGTTAAAACATTATAAAACCTTGCAATAATATATAGTTTATAACTTCATAACAGTCTATCTTGCTTTGAAACTTTATCCCTTTGTGCTGAAAAATAAGCTATGGTTATTTATATCTATAAGAGAATGGATTTGTTTCTCTGAATTTCACTCAAGATCTATACATTGAGTTGAACTGCATCACCTATCAAGTGACCTGATCTGGATTGGACTATTTCTAGAGCTGTGGATCTGGCCCACAAACTGGGACAATTATTTACTGTAAATACTATGATTGTCTCAAGCTTATGCATTGGATCATACATCATAGATCTTAATTCAGATTCCTAGAGATCAATATCCTCCAGCAGGCATACAGTGAGGGATGGGACTCTTTCAGGTAGCTAAATCTAAAAACATAAAGTAGATCTCCAATGTTAATGGAAGTTTGGGAACCACTATTCATTTATTCTCCATGCTGCATTCCTTAACCTTGTGCATATCGCCCATCAAAAGTGGGAAATATGTTTTATCCATATAGATTCCTGACATGATTTACAAATGCCAAGTACCATGGATTTAGATCCTCCCAAAATGTATGCAAAACAATAAGGATGTGACAGAGAAGGGAGAGACCAATGAGCATAGCTACATTCTTCTCATCACAGAGTGATACTTAATATGGAAGTCCTAAGAACTAATAAAAATGAATTTGTTTGGGGAGAATTTTAATCCACCTCCTGCATACAGCAAATACTGGCTAATCTCCTGAAGCAAACTAAGGGAGAAGCAGGACTTTGGAATGCACATTGAAAGGTGTAAATAAACATACTTCATTCATCCACTTAATTCCCAAATGCTGAACATAATTATGACTATCACAGCAGATGGCGGATTCTGGTTGACCTTGACTATCTCAAAAAAGCTAAGCAGAGTCCAATGTGGTTAGTACTTGGATCAGAGACAACTTGGAAATTCCAGAGCTGTAGACTAGACTGGGGAATCAAATAATTATTCCAGAGAAAGGCAATGGAAAACAACTTCTGCGTTGTTGCTGAGAAAATAACATGGATCATTAGGAGTCAAGCTCATAATAATGTCAATGAAACTGAGAAAGACTTTGACCTCAACTGTTCTTGTTCTAGCCTTCGTTCCCTTTGTGAGATCTTAAAGATGAGAGAAACTGTGCTGCATGCATGCTGTTGTGAAAAACCTCTCCTGTCTGGGCAACATTCTTAAGATAAGAAAGACTGATATTGCTCTCAATAATGTTCCCTTTAAAGAAAAAATACAGGAAGCCTGCAGCAATAACTTTATACAATTAGAAATTCCAGATCATACACTGAAATCAAAGGTAAATATTTTGAGTTAGATCTTTGAAAACTTGAAAGCTGCTCTTTAATAACCCAAACATTTAGCTCATCTCCAGACATACAGATTGTTGATTATATTTGCTTTTAATATAAGCATGTGGCCTGTTATTGAAAAGAATCATCTTATAAAATAAACATATTTTCCTTTCCAAATGGAATCATGATTAAGTAGAACATAGCACTGGTGTGATGCAAGGCAATAAAGACCATTGTGATCTGGGACTTGTGTTATCAATTTTAAAATGCCTGGTGAGCCAATTTTTTAAAAAGCACATACACACAAAGAAGTTCTCCACTCAACATATAGTTCATTTCACTCCTATGCACAGAAATGTCATGTGCTCCCCAATCTTCTTTGCATTAACCCACATTTGGCAAGAAATTGCTCAAAAGAACACCGGGCAGAAAAATGCTTGATCAAATTGCCTGTATGCCATTTCGTTTGCCACAGACATTTCACATTCCTTGCAAGCAAGCTTCTCTTCTGCCCCTGAGAGGAACAGCTGCCATCATGCAAGTTAGTCAGATGGTATCATGAGCTTTGCCTCAGCAGATTCTGGAGTGAGTGAAAAACAGCATATGAAAGGAAAACTTCTAAGGGTACATAAACAGGCCAGGATCTCTTTAGCATTTGGGTAGGATAATGTCATTTGGGGTTCATAATAGCAGAAAGAAGGTGTGTGTGTGTGTGTGTGTGTGTATGTATGTGTAGACAGACAGACAGAAAGACAGATAGATAGATAAAAACTGAGTTTATGATCAGATCTTTATTGCCATGGAAGTTAGTCCCTAGTATGAAGGGGGTTGGGTGGATGAAAGTTATTTTCAGAAGAGATTATCAATTCCCCTCAATTTCTTACATCAATTCTTCTTTTCCCACCTCTTGAAGAAATTTTCTCCAGTATGCAGAAAAGGGGCAACTGGGGGAATATAAGCATCTCTATAGCACCCAGCAAAGTTATTATTCTTTTGTCAGCAACTTGTGAATTTGGGTTTAGAAAAAGAGCTATATTCAGTGCTGAAACAATGAAAAAAACATACTTCAAACTCCTAAAATCACTGCCACGTCTTCCCTTTCTATATTGAAGGAGTAAATCATTTACCTGATCAGGATTGTGTACCAGGGGACAGTTATCACAATGATCACCAACTCCATCTCCATCTGTATCTCTCTGGTCTGTGTTATAGACATATGGGCAGTTATCACGATCATTGAAAATATCTGCCAGGATGAGAAAGCAATACAGATGAAGCCAGATGTTTAGATTCCACTCACAAACAGCAATTTTCAAGAATTAGTACAAACAGGAGTGGAGATTTTTTTTCCCCCAGTTTATCTTTCCCAGAAGCCTGAGTGAAGTTAGATCAGAGCAGAGTGAGTAGCCTGGGATTATCCCATAGGTTTCATAGCCCATGGGCCACTCGGGACTCAAGGCATGCAGGATATATTGAATAGAACATGATGCTGCATAAGAACATAAGAATAGACCAAATGGATCAGGCCAAGTCCTCTCTTAGACCAGCATTTTGTTTCTCATAGTAGCCAACAAGATGCCTGTTGGGTGCCTGCAAGCCAAAGATGGAGATCTACCCCTCTCCAACTGGTGTTCTACTACAACTGGTATTTGAAGGCATGCTGTGCCTAGCCCAGAGGTAACAGTGAATCCTCCAGGCTGAGAGACCTGTCCTCTGTGCATGTGACTATGGGGCAAGTGATGAAGTATGCACTGAGACATTGAGATACAAGAATGAAAGGTCAGGTTATATTTTATCATTTCAGTCAGTAGTAGCTCCCTCTTCCTTCACGAATCTATCCAGTTTTAGAGTCATCCAAGGCAGTGGCCATCAACCTGTCTTGTAGTAATAAAATCCACAAATCAATTCAGGTCCTGAGTGAAGCAGTTAAATATCTACTGCAATCCCCTACGCCTGATAAAGAAGGTGTGTTTGCTTTGTCGTGCTTTCCCTAAACTGAAGCCCCCATCCAAAAAAATTACAAAATTACAGATACCATCTATAGGATTGTGCTTTCTGATTCCCAGCTAATCAAATATCTTTAAGGCATCACATCCCTGAATCATCTCTTAGGTTAGTCCTATAATGGCCTGTATCTCCTATACAAAATCTCTGCTTGCTATACCACTTAAGAATACGGCCATATAATTTTGTGCCAAAGGCATTGATCAGCTCAAGGTACTAGTTTTGAAAAGACTCTCAATGTCTTGAGAACAGCAAATCTTAGGTGACTGCTCAGATCAGTGGCAGCTAATCATCTAGGTGTCTTCCCAAATCCCTATCCTGCAAGTTCTTGATGAAAACTACAGTAGATGTAAAACAGACTTGCATGATCTACATTAGTTTTTTGTGAAAACCCATGCCTGTCAACCCAGGAATTTGAACCAGAATGTGAACCTGCAGATAAATCCTTTTACACACATGGCCCTATTTTTACCAAACACATTTTTGATTTCAGCAGATAATTTAGACAAGGCTCATTGTAAAACTATTGAGTCTGAATTCCTTCCTGATTTACTACACATTACTTAGAGATGTACCACTACTTATCCATTCTTGAATATTAAAGCATTCCTTGAAAATGTATTATGAGATATACTTCCTGAAAATAATGGAAATTGATAAGGTTTTCCTGTATATTTCAGTTATACTTTAATTTCTGGTGTTTGTTTTTCCTTGCAACTTTGCCAGAATAACATCAACCAAGAAATAACTTTGATCCTTAATATAAACATTAAATTATGGGAAGCTTTCACATTTCTGCTGATATACATATCCAATATGCTACGCATTCACTGAACTGAATCCAAGGCTTAATAGGGTATCTCTTCTTCCCCTAGTCTGCCAGTACTGAAAACTGAGATTCAGCTGCCAAGAAATGCGGCAACAACTTCCTTAGGACATTAATGTTTCAGGCTTTAAGTCATGCCAAAATGCATAAACCCAAAGGCATTGAAAAAATATCAAAGCTCTTTGGGTTGGTAGATTTTTCAGAACTGGGCTACTGTTCAGGTTATATTTGCCAGTTTAATAATGTTAAATATCACCATTGATTTTTCTCCCCCTTTCAGAGCCAAACATGTAATTTGCGATTCTTATTATTCTAACATCCAAAATAATTTCCTTTCTTTTCTCAAGGCATTTTGGCAAGCACTTTGGGTGAAGACATTTGATTTGACTGGCACATCAGATATGGTTCTTCATGTAAGCATATTCTATATAAATATTTTATTTTAATTTCTTCTTTTATTTCATGTGAACTGCCACAGAATATTATTAGGTGGCCTACATAAACATACGAAATAACTAAAATATGTACCAAAGACTATGATATTGCTAGACCATAATGATACTTTCCTTCATTATTAAATTTAGATATCAAGTGAATGTGATAGTATTACAAAGTGTTTCTCCCAATATAGCCTTTGTCCATAAAGAGTTGCTTAACTGACCTGTTTAGCCTATTTTATTTCAGAATAGCTTAGAAAATATGCACTATAGAATTATTTGCCCAACAAACATCACCATAGCCCATAGTTTCTGGGGAAATTGTCAAAAATGATATCACGTCTTCAATTTATGGAAAACTCTGATTAAAAACATGGCCTTCCACAAATGTATCTCCTCGTTCCTCCCATGGATAAAACCCAATATGATTGGATGTATCATGTCTTTTGGTCAGTTCCAGCCAAAGCGTTTGCTTGTTACTGGCAATATTTGCCCATTCAGTTAGAAAAGGGCAGGCATAAACTGAAGATGTAAGTATGTTAGTATATGAACACATGAAGAATATAAATGTGAATATAACTGATTTCTGGATTGCACCAATACATTGTATCTTGTCTTCAGAATCATAAATGGATGGGTGTGAGTAAATGTCATACTACTTGAACTAGAGATGTTGCCAGGAAGAGATCTTGATAAGAATCATTCTAGACTACTTCCTAGAAACAAAACGGAAGAGAATAAGTAAGAACATACCATCTCCATCAATATCTACTGCACACGCATCACCCTCGCCATTATGATCGGTGTCAATCTGAGCAGGATTGTGTACATATGGGCAATTGTCACAACGATCGCCAACTTCATCCTTATCATAATCAAATTGCCGGGGATTAAAAAGAAGTGGACAATTGTCCTAAAGGAAGAAACAAGATTACAGAGTAAGTGTGGAAGCACAGATCAGGTTTGGAAGGAAGACTTCCTTTTTCTCTGAACCAAATAATATGTTCCCACATTTTCCACTCCAATGGTAAAGAAAAACTTTGAAAACTCTTTCCTATAGGCCACCATCCTCCATGGAATAACAAATGGCTACTGGGGAAAAGGATTTCTCCTACCACTGCCCCTCCTCCATTCATGAAATACCCTTCCTTGAAAGATCTGACAATTTTGTTACATATACCTGTTAGCAGACATGTAATCTAACTTTTGGTCCTAGCTTTTAAGGTTTTTACATTTATAACGATTAGAAAGCACTCCTAGGCTCACACCACTTTGGTGATATATAAAATTAATGAATGAATGATTAATTAAAAACTTTGTTCCATTAGAATTTGTTATGATGCTATGAGTTATGACAACAAATGCAGCTATTACACATCCTATATAAATAAATATAATAGATTATCCTAGGTATCATTGCCCAACTTTTTCAATATTCCCAGATGAATGATGTAGTATACATGAAATAACTGAAAAATTGCACAAGTTCATGGAGAATTAGGACAACTGTGTTACATATGGAGCATGTAAATCCATTGATATCAATAAAAAAAGTCTGTCATAGAAAATCGAGACATCTCAAAGAAACTGAAAATTTCTTGATGGTTTCCACATTTATTTCTTCTGAAAGGAAAGTATGGCTTAATGTAGGAAATATGAGCTTACTTTATCATCCTCTACACCATCATTGTCATCATCTTCATCACAAGCATCACCTTTTCCATCCTTATCAAAATCTTCTTGTCCAGAATTTGGCAGGAAAGGACAGTTATCCTATATAAACAAAGAGTCTTGGATTACTGTACAGTTTTATTTCAGAGATGGATAATAATCCCAAGATTTGGTCAACAAAAGACTTGGATGTTCAACCTATATTCTGAATTTGTTTCTACAAGTTATATACATATAGATATATGTGTTTCTTTTCATAAACTTTCAGGTGTTAAGAAAAAGCAGCCTTTAGTTATATTAAATAATATTGCTATATTGTAAATGAGGTCTACCACCTGATATTTCTGGTAGACTGTGGTAGGTCAGTTAGGCAATTTTATTTATTTAAATATTTTAAAATATATAATGAGTATGTGCTAATGAAAAGAACTCTCCCTCCCCCTGAAAAATGAACTGTAAGTACAGATGGATACGATAACTGAACTGTGAAGTCAAGTGAAAATCGAATATTGCTTCTTTGTCCTTAAAGGACAGAAATACATTCATTCCACAATCTTAAACAGTCACATTCAATTTTCAGATTACAAACATTCCATTAGCCAATCAACTTTAAGTAAGGTACAGCAAGTAGAACAATAAGGACCTGAGTATATTTCAGTTAAGGAAAATAGACAATTATGTTTTTATTCACTGATTTTTTTCTCCCTTCCAAATTAATATTCAGCCTGCAGCACAATTACATTTTGGGCTGTGCAGTTCTCCAAATGTTGTGTTGGTTCAAATATTGCTTGTAAATTTGTATATTTGGGAAATAGATTTCTAAAGTCTTAATAACAGAAGAAATTGCAAATGAAACTAAATTTGAATTCTCAATTTAAAAAAAACTCACTAATATTGTTTCAAGGTTATAGAGTACTCCTATGTTTTTAGAGAATGTAATTTCAATTCACTTGATATTGGGTTATACTATACCTTGCCATTCTATTGCATTTGACTATTTTGCTTTAGTAAAAGTTATACTTACTACATATTTTTTCTGTGTGGTATATATTTGGCTGACTTGTTAAGAAAATTAATTGACAGTGACCTATTTTGGGATGAAATTAATATGCCTTGTTGGAAAAACACCACCATTGTACTTTGCAATAAACTTACATTTGCATTCACTCAACTTTCATCCCCAGAAGTCTAGGATTTCTAATAAATTTGGTCTTAGCTATTCTCTCCCATCTATCTGTTCATCTCTTTTGAGGTGAATCATCACAGGAATATAATTAGTACAGGCCACAAGACAGGAAAAGAAAAAACATGGAAGACTTATATGTTAAAATGATAGGTAGATTAGAGAAATATATCATTTATGTTCTTTCTAACTACAGTGGCCTAACAAATTATAAAAGAGGAATAATTTCCACATTGTCATGCCTGCTATTATTCCAGATTCAGAATTGGACTGAAATGATAATTGAAATTGGACTGAAATGATAACTTCGGTGCTGTCAGTGTGACAGATGTGACTTTCATCACATCTCAGAAGAACAAACTACCTTCATCATCTGTGTAATATATTCAGCTCTGACTCCTAACCTTTTGCTGCTCATCGTATCACTATATAGGTAGTCACCATGATAAAGCCAGCCTTGTGGAAGACTATTAAAAAAACCCACCCTATTTTCAGTTTAGATGTTTAGGACCTTTCTCCTTCATATACTTTACCTTTGTGCAGTGATAAGTAGCATTGGCAGCACAGACCAGGTTACTATTGGGCCATCCATCCAGGTCTGAATCTTCCCCACAGATGAATCCGTCACCAGCATAGCCTGTCCTACATTCACACTTGTACACAGGGTCGGTGAAATGCCCGAGATAGATGCACTCAGCTGAACTGTGGCAACTGTGAGTTTTATCTTTGCAAGGGTTGGAAGGCTCACATACCTGAAAAGCAGATCATTATGCAAATAAGGCACCCAAAACATCAGAACAACAAAGAAACAAGACATTTTAATTTCCCATTAATTGTTGAGCCTTGAGCACATGTTCTGTAGCTGGATCCAGATGTAACAACCTTTCATTAAAAACTTGGCCAAAGACCCAAGCAACATTTGTTTGCTGAGCTAGTAAGTTAAGCACTGCTGTCAATGTAGCAATTATGAATAAGCCTCTCTTTAACTAAAGCATAGCCTTAAGTCGAATGACATATTCCTTCACAAATTTATCTCTCACATCTGCAGGCTTCTGGATGTAATTAAACAAAATAAAATTTACTGTGAGGCAAGAACATTCAGCCCCATCCATTTCCTTTGTAATTTCAGGAAGATGAAGAAAAAAACAAAGGAATTCTGGAAGGAGGCAACAGCAAGCTACTTCCATGCTGTGGCCAAGAATATTGCCTAGGCATGTCCATGAAGTCACCAGAACTGATGGTGACAAAGACCACTTTTTTAGCAGGCAACCAATAAATAAATTCCTTTTTTAAAAAAACCTATAGAAATAGCTAAGGAACTGCAATTTCCTTCTAATAAGTCACAGCTGCTGTTTTTGTTTTGCTATTGGCTTACATTATAACTTCAATGTAATACTTTTAATATTAGTCTTACATTTAGAATCCATAAACCATATCAGTTGGAAATGGATGACTGAATAAAATCCAAGGTAACAAAAATCTGAAAAAATATGGCTCTTTAGAAAATGTAAGTTCTCACCTTGCCTTCTTCTCACATTTGTTATATCAAGATTTTTTCCAAACTGAGATCTTTCAGAAAAGTATCTAGCCATGTCGAGCAGCTTCATGAAATGGACCTTGGTATTTTGGGGGAGGGGGCAGTTCTTGACAAAAATGCATTATGTATACTCTAATTGTGAGAAACAGAGGCTCTAAATTTTCACTTAGTCAATTAGACACTGCTATTTCTCCTCTCCCTTTTGATGTTGTCATGGATAGGTTCATGCAGGTACCAGAAACCAAGCTTGACCCAAGGGAAACATTTTCCTTTAATCCAGCATTTCTCAGCCTTAGCAAATTTATATATCAGAATTCTTGATGTCCACACATCTTAAAAGTTGCTGAGGCTGAGAAACATTGCTTTAATCTACTTATATGTCTGAATGTTTAAATACATCCTTTCTATATGAAGACATGATTTTGTGGCTAACTTGTCAACATCTGGGTTGGTTTTGAATGTTCCCTTTTTCAAATCTATTCTTCTAATTCTTTTCTAAAACAACAAGACTTCTACAATGAATACATCTCCCCTCTCTTCTGGCACTTACTTGTTTTTCTGTCCTGGCAGCCTCTAGGCCCACCCCATATGGTTGCGTTCCTTTGTAGCGTGGAGGGCATGGTAAGCAGTGGAATCCTGGGTTGGTGTTTACACATCGATGGTTCTGATTTAACTTAAAGCAAACATCTGGCACTACAGCACACTGCCCCAGGGGGAAAAAAAGTGCAAAAAAAAGTAGTGAGTTTTTTTATCAGATACTTCAAATAACAATAATGAAAACCTGTTTTCTCTAGGTGGAATCGAAGTAACTCACGCACACTGAAACTCATCTACCTCATCAAGGTCCTCACAGAATGTTCCATTTCCAAGATAACCAGCAGGACATGCTCCACAGGACCATGAGCCATCAGGATAGCTGTTGCATTCTGCTCCAGGAAAGCAAGGATTTGATAAACAGCCATCTGTCAAAATATAATAAAAGAGCATTGCTATGACAGGACTAATCCAAAAGGCATCCTTCTGAAGAAGCAGCTTCCCATCCTCTCTGCAATACCTTATGTATCTTCAAAGCCTCTTACAGAATATCCTCTAATCTGTTGAAACAGATGAATAAAGAAAATCCCTTTGGGCAGATGAATAAGAAAATCCTCTTGCATTATATATTATCCACAGTATCGATTCTATGAGAGGTGTGAAAAATGTTTTAAATTTGAAATATTTTGAGTTCAATAAAAGGTTGTCCTGACCTTGCAGGAAGTGTGTGGATACTGTTCCAAACATTCTAGAAGTCAAAACAGATGTTTTAAGCTGGAAAGGGGGCTGATTCAAGCTCAGAACATTTCTGGGGTGGTCAGGATAGTTGTGGAATACTTTCACTAAAGTCAGAACAGCTGTACCAAGCTCAACTATTTTGAATCTGGAAATTCAATTAGATTAGATTCCATCCTAAGCTGGTCTTCTTGCCTGGATGAGGCAGAAGAAAAATGGAATAAAATAACAATTTGGCCTCTTCTTTTATTTCCCTTTAGGATTTATAAATAATTGCAAATAGTAGGCTGCATTAAAAGGGGATCAAAGTGCCCCTTTAGTTCAAATGAGCCAATGCCATTATAAATCTCAAGATGTTATTGCTTATTTAAAAAAACACCTGTCGATTAATAATTTAAAATTTGGTATTATGTACTTGATTTGGTCTACAAATATGCCAGCCTCAGCCAATCTGACAAAATCTAATTAAATATACTGAAATTTTTAATTTAAATGGTTTTACTCTCATTTTTTATAGTTTTCTACTGATGTAGTCTCACTTTCAGAGAAGATGTTTCCTAGTTAGTTCAATAAAGCTGTATGAACAGTTCACCGATTATTCAGATTTTCTTGTTCCACGAAGGCCTAGGGCAGCAATGTTAGACACTGCATATACAACATGAGGGGAATCATTTAGAATCTGGTGCCTTCTATATGTAAATCAGCTCCTGTACCAAAGACGATGATTCCTCCAAATATCTCACTTAGATATATGTGACCTTCCAGTGTATTCCATATTCACCTATTGGACAATCCTGTTTGTTGCACATATCACGTTGAATGACATCTCCTGCACACGCCATTCCACCATACTGAGGTGCTGGACTATTGCAGAGACGAGATCTCTCACGAATGCCTCCACCACAGGAAACTGTGCATGCAGACCACGGAGACCAAAGACCCCATCGACCATTGACTGGAAGAAGATTTTAAAGCAAGATTTTAGCACAAGCAACAAAACAAAATAAAACTCAATCAAAAAGGGATTGCAGTAACCACATATATTTTAACCGGTCATTTCATTAGTATGATTAACACCAAGCTTCTTTTTTGCCTTGTCAATATTCCAAAAATAAATTTGCACACTCAAAAGAATTCACTAACATTGCACCATAATTCACTTACTCACAATGGAGAAAGTGATTATGGATTGCATCTGGTGCAGGTCTCTGCAGACAATGTAACTACTTAAAACGCCTACAGCTTTAATGGTATTCCAGAAGAAAAACGCAATCGAGAAAAAAATGCACATTTTCTATTAAAGCAACTTAAATGAGTCATGCTAGAGGGCACTGAGATGTTTTCAAAATTTATCTCTGATTATTGTTTGTTTATGTTATTATTACTGCAATAAGTTTCTATAACACTGGATGCTAGAACTATACCCTCTTCAAAAGTGGTACAGAAAACATGTGCTGGACCTCACATTAGCCCAGTACCTCTCTGCTATTCATTAAAGCAGCTCTTTCTTTTTCAGACTTCCACATGAACCTAAAAAAGGCAAGGATGATACACAAGAATGAATTTGCTAGCTCTGATACCCTGGGCTACCCTTCAGGAAAAAAGCCTGTTTTATCTGTGGAAGCCTTCTATGCAATTGGGGACTCTGGTAAATCCAGATTCTAAATCACATGAAGACTTTCTATCATAGAAGATGCTTTCCACTGTAGAGCATGTAGAATTTGAACTCTTTCATAATACTCAAGGAAGGTTTTTTTGTAGCCCATGCTTTTCATGCATATCTAGGTTACAGCCCTATCACAAGACAGATTCAAATCAACAAACTCACTTGGACATGGGTCTCTTTCACATTCTTTAGTTTCACGTCCACCTCCTTTGCAGCCTTTCCCACCCAGCTGTGGGATGGGGGAATTGCAGAGTCGTATGCGAGTGATATTGCCTACTCCACAAGTCACAGAACAGGAAGACCAAGGAGACCAGTGACTCCAACCACCATCTTGACGTACTGGTCAAGAGAAAGGAAAAAAAAAAATGAAGAGCTTGCATCTGCAACCTCAGAGGATCAAATGGAAATTTCCATTTACCCCTGAGTATGTAGATCTCACTTGATTTATAATTCAAATATTTCTGACTGTTCCAATTACCTCTTATTCAGACCTCTAACCGTATCAATGAATGGCACACAATCAAAATGTGCTGCTTCAATGAACAAAACTCAGCAGGGCAAGATTTGCACTATAAACACTTCGTGTGGGCCAGACAGAACTATATCTTCACCATACAATTGCCACTGGCCTCTTGGGGAAAAATATGATAACTATAAAGCTATTTAGAACTGACCATATCTTAACAAGCGATGAAACTCATGATACCACCTCATCTTTAACCTGAGTACATTTTTTTCCCTTTAAGATTAATTCCAGATTTATTGTCCTTGTATTGGATGCAAAGTAAAATAATGTGTTATAACACTCACTGCGATTGTCACATTTGCCAAGGGAGCAGGTCCTGGTCTGAATGGATGGGCCTCGACAAGTGTTGCTGGTGACATCACATGACCTTCCTCGCTGCTGGGTTCCAGATCCACATGTGACTGAGCATTCTGTCCACTCCGACCATGGAGACCAGCCTTCTTCCTGATCATCAGCTGCAAATCAGGAGAACCATAGATAGACTTAAATACTCTGTCTGGTTAAGTATGTACAAATATCAGCCTGCCAAAATTTACAGATGGGATCCAAACAGTCAGAAGGATAAGAGATCCAAAGTTCTATAAAGTGTTAAATTTCCAAGATGGTATGCAACCCAAAGCCCAATCACACATGGTTATTATTGTATATCAATTGGGGTATTTTAGTCCATCTCTATGTAGTTCTAGGTAGATAGAGATTGTTATTGTTTTTTTAAGTGGCCTTTGTAAAGATCTGTTCTGAGAAAGCAAAAAGTATCCCCTATCTAAGAGGATAGTTTCCAAAACATCCCTTTGTTTTGATTTTGAATTAGAATATGCATTTCACATGGAGGAATTTTCAAATAAACAACTCCCCTACTAAAAATTGACATAGAAAGTCCCAATATGAAGTTCCTGTATGAAGACTATACCATTTCAAATTGCAGGGTTTAATTGAACCAACAGCAAAAATAGCCACAGACATCCATTCCTAACCACAATGATGCCAACATGACAAAATACGCGTTGCGATGTCATGCCACAACCTCTGCCTTATGTATGTGCACCATAGTGCTGCATACACGTATGCAAGGGGTGGAGTTTGCACTGTGATGTCATGACACATTTTGATCCTTGCACGCCCTTGCGGACACCTGTGATGGTCATCCTCCTCGAAGTGAGCAGCCTTGTTGCGTTTCCTTTTGATGTCATATTCCTGACTCTGTCCTGCTTCTTAAGAGCCTTTTCACAGCGAAAGGAAAATACGCTGGGGATATGAAGAGGTCAAAGAGGGGAAAGTAGTAATAACTCATGTATTGCTGACAAAATATGTAGTGCTGATTCGGGAAGCACAGTTAGCACCACCAGCAGCCCAACCTCTTTTAGGCTGTAAAAGAGGCATAGAAAGTGACATTTCTCTTCTGCACAAGCTAATGTGCAAAGAAACAAAGCTGTAAGAACCTCAACTGTTAGGAGACAAGCAAGGCTGTGTCCACTGGCTTTTGAACTTTACAGTACTGACTGATTTGTTTCTGACCAGGATTTGCTGCAGGTGAACCAGAATGGGGATAAACAATCAACACCTTTGAGGACAAGGAAAAAATAGTAAATGAGATACCTAATATACAAGCTTAACCACCCTGCAGCCTTCTTTGAATTTGCTGTGTGACAGCAAAGATGACAACTTTAGAGCACAAGCAAAGCAGTACTGGCCCAGATCAAAGGCTGCAGAGTCTGAATTCCTTGTAATCTTAAAAACAGATGTATACCAAGTCTGTAAAATCTATCAAAAATCTGCAATGCACTAAACACTCAATTGTGCTCCTATTGGTGGCATCCTATAAGCTCAGGATATAGGAGTCCATACTGGTGAAGGATCAGCAGAACTCTAACTGGTTAAGTTCACCCAGATGAAATCAAGGAAGACGTGAGCAAAGCGCATTACCTATTTAGCTGAACAACTGGTTATTAAAATAAAGTATTCTAATAAAGCACAGGGTTCATCATTTCTAGTCTTAAATTATATATGATTTATACATACTGGTTAATAATTTCATGAGAACAGAAAGTACTTCTTGTGCATTCTGTTAAATGAAGTTTGCTTATCCACCAAACTGACATTCTTAATTACTCATTTACCATTAAATTCTACCTAGTAAACAATATAATCCATGGTGCAGGGAGATCAACACAAGCAGCCAGTGCCTATAAATTTGGGAAGAGTTTTTCTTTCTACTGCTGTCAATCTCTTTGGAAGAAGAGACATGGGAGCCAGCTGTAAACTCTCAGAAATTTGAGGCTACTGTGATTTCTTGGGGGGAAGTAAGCCAGCAAGAGTATCAGCAAGGATCCTTGTTCTTCATTTGGGGATTTGCATTTTATATCATTCTGCACTCATTTCCTTGTGTGACCACATTTATTATTTGGTTACTGAACTGGTGTTTTTGGCTTATTTGAATACACTGGTGAGAGGCCCAGCATACGATTTCAAAAAATATAGCATACTTACTACGAGAGCAGACAGGGCAGCAGTCGCCATCAATAAAAGTTGGACTGACACAATGCACAGGTGGGCATGTGATTTTATTGCACACTGTTTTAGAGTTCTACATGCAAAGAAAAACAAAATCAAGCTATGATGCAGAAATGAAGTCAACTAAATGATTTTCTTTAAAAAAAAAAAACTAGAAACATACAAATCATTGGAACTGAATTGGGTAAGCTGATTTTCTTTTTGATAATAAAGGTATACCAAATGATATACAAATAGCATTTGCTATTTTCAAGCAGCAGCACACAAATCTCCAATGAGGCAATGTCATTCAGAAGAACTCATGGAGCTCTAAGAGATGAATCACCTTGGTCAAGATGAGTTCTGGATAATCCCAGTCCTTCTGTTATACCTATTCTCTCAGTCACAATCTTGGTTGCTTAGTTGCTCCGGCAACATCCATGAGGGGTGAGAGTAGGGGTAAAAATGTCAAGATAGCAAGATACAGCCATCATGATGCAAACCCTACCCCTTTTGTACATGTGTGACCTATCAACAGACATATAAAAGGGGTAGTGCTTCCATTCCATCTACCATCTTGCTTTTTCTGACACCTCCCCACTAGAGACACTCATGTCAACAACTGTCCCTTTCCTGACAGTAAAAGAGAACAATGATTTCACCTTTTTTCTTTTTTACAATGGTTCTCCAGCATGTTAGGGAGACTTTTTACTATTGTCAATATCTCTGGAAGAAGAGATGCAGGACCCAGCTGCAAACTCTCAGGTTTCCATGCCTTTTGCTCCAAATGTACACACTCATTTTCCCAACAGCTCCCAAAGTATCATTTTCCATAGTGGATGTTCTACAAGTGAAGACCCTGTTGCACATTAGGTCACTGAAGATGGCAAACAAAACTGGAGCTTCATCTCACAGCTTGCCCACCACAAGAAGTTCATATAGAAAGAGGCAAAAGGCTGCGCCTTCATCATCACTTTGGAGCCTTCAGGGCAATGGAGTCTAGTTTTATGTCCACTAGTTTGGTGCCACAGGTAAAACTAACTTCTGGAGTGTTTCATCAATGACAGTGCTTGGCCCAGATATAAAGAGGCATTTAAGTTGATGATACCAGATTACATCACTTCTGTAGCATAAGGATGCTGCAGAAAGATGGATGAGCCTGGCTATTGAAAGGTGAAGAGTATAAGCAGAATTAGAAGATGGCCTTCACCATGAAAGTTCCCATCCTAAATGATTTCCATGTAAAGGAAAACAGTCTAACAGGGAAGAACCCTGCCTGGCTTATCTCAACATACCAAACTTAAGATGCTATGCAATTCCAGTGGCACAAGACTGGTAACTATTGGATTTATTCCTCCAAAGACTTGCACATCAACTGATTGCCATTTTATAATTGGACATTTTATTCCCTGTCATAAATGCCTACTTGTTTGTTTGTTTAATTCAATTTTCATGACCACTCATCTCACCATGGTGACTCTGGGTGGCTAACCAATTAAAAGCACAACCAACAATGAAAATAAAATACATAACCAGCAGCCAATTAAAAAAAAAATCAAACTTTGATTAGCATAACCATCTCATGGGCAATAACCCAACCCCAAGCCCAGGAACACAGCCATTGGTTGGGGCCAATCTGACCTCCAGGTGGATGATGTTCCACAGGGCAGGTGCAACAACAGAAAAGGCTCTCTATGAGACCCACAGCATGCACCTTCTGCTGGATCTAATGGGATGGGCAGGAAGAATCGGAGAGAGATAGTCCCACAAATAAATTCCTGCTTGTGGTAGCTTAGCATCTGATTAAGGTTTGAAATAACAACCTATCACCATGTCAGCTAAACATCGAATTTCGAACCTGCCACAATCTTCGCAATAGGATTTAGACACAGTTAGCATACTTAGAATTCCTGACTATATTTAAAATCAGCACTTATCCTTCAAGATCCTACACAGTGCATTGGAATGATTTGTCTTATTTTTTTTTAAATGCATCAATCCAATTCTTTGTCATTCCTTTTACATTCCTTTGCTTGTGCATGGAAATAACAGTCCAGACCAAAATCCAATCTTTATAAGCAACAGAAATGGAAGCTTATTAAGACAGTCCATTGGCATTTTTCCATTCATCCTGGATATTGATGCAGACTTTAAAATAGAGTCCCCTATTGCAGGGGAGATGGGCGGGAGAGAAATCCAATAAATAAATAATAAAATAATAAATAATAATAAAAACATCACAACATCATTGGGATAAGGGAACAGCGTATAGCAGTGTTTCTCAACCTTGTCAACTTTAAGATTCCCCTTGTCATGCTGGCTGGGGAATTCTGGGAGTTTAAGTCCACACGTCTTAAAATTGCCAAGGTTGAGAAACACTGATGTACAGCATGAAAAGATAGTCTTAAAAGGCTTACCTGGCAGTTACATTTTGTACAGCTGTCCACAACCCAGTGTGAGTTATTTGCAAATTCACGGCCATCTTGCCAGCAAGCTGACTGGTTCTTGAGTGCTTTGTTGGGGCCAAGCAACTCTGATACAATTATGTCATTCACCTCTGACTGTACAAAAAACAGATGAATCATTACAGGTTAATATACCATGAACAAGCAAATGTGAAACTCTACCTGCTGTTAGTTTAGAAACTCAGAATACTTTGAAAGGAGTATTAAAAATAAGGAGTATTAAAAATAAGGGGTACTTATTTTTACCCAGCTAATGCATCAGCCAAAAAAGAAGCAAACAATTCAATTGCCATGTTCTTTCTTTGGGCACAAATTTCAACTAATGTTACAATTCATGCTTGTCAAGCATATGCAGATTGCAATACATTCTGTGGAAAGACTATTCCTCCAGTAGAACTTTTTCAAAACTGGATTCCACTCTTGTAGCACATATTAGACCACTTCAGATCTATTTCAAATGTGTGCTGAGAGCCAGCAAGGTGTGGCAGTTCAGCTCCTGGAACAGGACGAGGGAGGTCCCAATGGGAGTCCAACCTCAGCCACAGAAACACACTGGGTGACCTGAGGCCAGTCATTGTCTCTCAACCCAACCTACCTCAAAGGGTTGCTACTATAGAAATAAAATTAAGGGAGAGCCCCACACAAGCCAGCTTCTGATGCTGGAGGACAAGCAGAAATAAATCTAACAAGCAACCAAGCAACCAAATAAAAACATGTGAACTTGATTACTAGAAGAGAGCTGGTTACAATCGTAACTAAAAAAATTGAAGCATTTTGGAACTGGCATAAGTTTGCCAGTTGAAATATCTTTCTACAACCTGATTCCAATATATATGCCAAAAGACGCAGAGAAATAGGCCAAGAGTCAAAAAAGGAGCTGATAAAGATCAAGGCACAGAGAAACTGAGCTGCATCTCACCAAAATCCAGCAGGGCCAGGCAAAAGTGAGAAAAAAGTTCAAAGTCATTTCCAATATTCTAAATCCAGTGAGAACCCCCTTCTAATTATCCTTCTACCCTGCCCCCCACCCCTCACTACACACACACACTCACACACACACACAAACACCCAATTCAGCCACCCTAATGTTAGCTCAGTTCAGTATGGGTATTTTGGCTACTTAATTTAGACCTTACTAAACTCATAGAAAATTGTGGACTAAGTTATTCTATTGATTTCAGTGAATTGAATTCAAGTATCACTAAGCTTGGAACCAACCTACTTTGAAAAGCATAGTGCATTCATTTTACATGATGTTACATAGCCCATGCCTTAGAATCAGCAAGGAGGGACTTTTTAGGCTTTATGTATTCTGGGTTAAGGATATGAAAAAAATTGTGCTTTGGGAAACTAATTATGAATGCCTAGTAGAACCTCAAGCAAAAGGCTGAGGATAGTCCCAGTGATAGTAATCAATGTTTTTTCCCTTAAATAAATAAATAAGCAAGCAAACAAACAAATAAATAAATGTGTGTGAGTGAGTGTGTGTGTGTGTGTGTGTGTGTG